AGAAGGGGGAGGATGCTGCTACTCTCTAATTTCTCCTTCTTTTTAGGAAGAGATTGTCTTAACTTCTCATTTTCCTTTTGTTTATCTATGTATCACCAACTCTCCCAGAAGAATTAATTTCACCCCTGAGCCAAGTTTGGCTAAAAGCCTTGTGCCAACAGGGCTCTTCTGCTGCAGCCAGACTGGAAATCCATGGCAGCAGGGCATAACACTTGGAGTAGCAGGAAGAAAACTTTTACAAGAATTTCCAGTGGGAAATTTGCTGGATCCGGGAAGGGGTATGCAGCAAAGAACAGCATTCCACCTTTTTACCTCACCACAGCAACAGCTGTGTGGTGGCACAGCTTCCTTACAAGCGTTAGGAAGAACTCAGGTGAGTTTTACTCCTCCTCTCACCTTTAGTGCCAGCAAAGCAGAGAGGAAATTATTAAACACCTCATGCACAAACCAGTGCCAGCACTTCTCCCAGCCCCAGGGAGAAGCCACTACACTCTCCTTCAGCCGAGAGAAAGCACAAGCTACCTAAGCAAGCACAACCTGGGAGGATGCAGCAGCAGGTATTTAAGTGACAAGTAACTATCTAAGATCCTCATGAAGTTTATCCAACCTATATCTTCAGCTCTTGGGGGTGGCTAGTTACCATCTCACACACCTCAGCCCTGCAGTTACACCAAGGAAAAAGCAGAATTTGACCAGCAAGTTGTCAGCTCTTGTTGCACAGCAGAGCAGAAGCAATGGAACAGTGACCCAGCCCTCCCATCCTTTGACAGGAGCATGTACAGAGGGAAGGGCTGTGAGGGCTAAGGGTAGAGACATAACTGCATTTATACCTGTCCTCTTCTTTCTTGCTTCTTCCAACTTCTCATAAACCTTGATCTCAGTCCGCAGTGACTGCAGTAACTTCTCATTCTCAGAGATCTGATGTTGCTTTCCGTTAATTTCTGTTTGCAACCTGTAAAGTCCCAACAAACAGCTGAGTGAAATTCTTACTTCTTTTTTCACATCTAAAATCCATTCTTCTTTCCCTCCATAACTCTTCCCTTGCCTTTTCAATACATCCATGCCCCTCATTACTGTCGGTGGCTATGGCTAAACACGTGCTTGTCACATTTGACAAGCTCCTGCTCTAAAGGACTGTTTAAATGTGGACAGAATCAATACCTGTTTAATTCATTCCGACTGCTGTAAATCTGACATGTCAGGTATCTGATTTCATCTTCCTTCTGGCAAATTTGTTTGTGCAACTTCTCGTTTTCTTTCTTGATGCATTCATAATCCTCCTGGAGATGCTCAATGATTGTGTTCTTTTTAGAAAGAGATTCTCTTAACTTCTCATTTTCCTTCTGTTTGTCTGAAACAAGAAGAAACACACAAGGTTTCTGCAACGCCCACGGACCACTAAAGCTATGATTTCTAACTAAATCAGATTTTTCAACTATCAGAAAATAACAGCTTCTACTCTATTAATCCCAGCTTGAATGCCTGTGGAATGCCTGGAATTTCAGGGGGGGGAAGAATGGCTAAGTCAGTTTAATGAGTGGAAATGTGAGTATTTTATTGTTTTCTGACCTACCATGAGTTTCAGGCTACTCCTGTAAAGAACAGTTTACATTTTTACCTCTGGATCCTTTAGCCAGCATTGCATTCAGAACTTGATTTTGCTTCCTCAGGAAATGTATTTCAGAAGTCAGGGAATTATGCTGCTCTGAGCCACGGATAAAAATGTTTGCAGAACCTATAAATATATACATAAAAGATGATTTATGAGTCATCTCTAGGTCATTAAAGATTAAACTTTCCAGACAAGAACAATTTTAAAAAATTGCAGAAAAACACGTTATGAAAGCTATTTCTCCCCTCTATATTTTGAAGGTTATCACTCCAGACTGAAAGGCAGTTCAGGTTAATGCCAAGTAATCCAAAGCCCTGAGCATCACAAGTACTTCTCATTGCTGGGCAACCATTACCAAAATTGCAAAATTCTCCCTGGCAGCCTTTACCTATCAGCCAATATCCCAACAGGACAAAATGCAGGAACACTTTGTGACATTGCTATGATTTGAAAAGAAAACTGCAGGAGGGTTGACCATATATTTTAGCCTTCCTCTCTGTATTTAATGACACCACTGCAGAGGCCACTAGATTCCACCAGCTAATCCATGGGGGTTAGTGCAGAAGTAACATAAATAGTCTGGTAATAGATCTGTTACCACACAGTCAGGAGCATAAGGCTGGAGTCACTGGCTTTGCCTCTGATTACAAACTGGGAACCCATTTATGATCACAGGGATGAAGATTCATCTCTCTTAAACTACTGTATCTAAAACTTAGAGAACTGAGCCAGTCTTGATCAACCATCCCCAGCCAAGGGGAGACTCAGGCCCCTCCAGAGCATGGCTCACCTCTCTGTGGGTGAGAGGCTCTGCCCTCCAAGAGCTCTACTTGTCTCCAGTGCCTCCACAAGAAGTTCTGGGTAACTGGCATGAATTTAGATGTCTGACTTTTAGAAACACAAGGGTGATGAATTCTGCTCTGAGGATCTCATTGCACCAGTCATAAGTGTCAAATCCTGTCTCCAGTCAGTCAGATTCCAGCCTAGGCAATCCTCAGTGTGCTGTATTTGTGTTACTGATCCCTCAGCAATGTGCACTCTTACAGTACAGCCTGGAAAGTGTCTCGCTCTACTCTCAAGGTGCTGCCTCTGAAATGCAAGTCAAGTAATTGTTATTGCCCTTTATAACCTGCTCATAGTCAGTAAAACACTTCAGGACCCACTGGAATTAGAAGCATTTTTCAGTTGATTGGTTATCCCAGCATCTCCTGTGCTTTAAAGCCTGAGATAACTGCCCAAGTGTCAACTGTTTGGTTAATAGAGAAATAACCAGCTGGCAAAAAAATTAGCTGAATGTATGAGGAAGATGCCTTTCAGCTCTGGCAGTTCAATTCAATTTGATGTGCTGCACTTCCTCTGAGCAATCTCATTTTCTTGTAATCCCAATTGAAGCTTTTACCCACTCCCTAACTGGGATGTAGTGTGCCATGATACACACACCTCTCGTTGCTGCTGAAGGACTCAAAGGCTCTAGAAGCCTGGCACTAATGGCATTTTACTATCTATATGTTAAAGAGTTGAGGCAGCTCTGTGAACTCAAAAGGCTTTTTCCTTTCAGATTGTAACAAAGCAATTCCAGTTGAAGTGGTAAGGCTTAATGGGCTCATCTTGATTCTAATTTAATTTATTGCCCATCACCCAGTTTTATCCTATTTGAAAAGTTATGCTATCACAGCTCTACTGAAAGGCTTTGGAATATAACTATTAGTTATCTTACATAATAAGGGATAATGTAGAGCCAGTAGTAATAGGGCCACAAACCTGCAATTTGACCCACTATTGAGACTACTACATCTGTGCAGAGCCCTGCTGACATCAATTATGCTCTCCACAGAGGCAAAGGTCCAGCAAACCAGAGCAAAGTGGAGCATCAGGGCCCACAGTTGCCACACACTTGAGTTTTCATTCTGGTTTGTGCTGAAAAAGGGAGTGCTAAGGAAGCCTACCTTGAAGGGTTCAAAGGGAAGCACTGACTAAAGGACAGGCACCATTGAAAATCCCAGCAAAGAGGAAGGAAATGTTCCTTCCCAGGTAAAGCAAAACAAGTGTGAGTAGAAACATCAGTTACTTACGGGTTAAAGAAAGCAAACAAAACCCTTTTAATGTTAACTGCCATCAGTAACATGTGAAACCTAGGAAACTCAAAATTAAACCTTTGATTTTATTTTGAAGCCTAACATTTGAAATGATTGAAGCAATTATTTCAGTTCTACTTGCACTGCAAACCTCAGCTCTACAGGAATGATGGAGTCATTACCAGCACGTGAGTCATTTACAGAATCCTGGAAGCCCAGAGGCATTTAAATACTTAGAGAGTCTAAATATTAAAAACAACATGTCAAAAATAGTGGGCAGATGTGTGTATATACATCCATATAATATTTATCAGACAAGAATAAATCTATGCAATAACCTTTGTTGAACAAGCAATGCAGTATCATCAGTGTAACAGGCTGTCAGCAACAATTCTGTGTGTTACCACTTGGCTTTGTGTTTCAAAGGGAAACAAAGTGAAAAGAAAAAATACTGAATTCACAGAATCACAGGATGGTTTGGGTTGGAAGGGACATTAAAGACCATCCCATTCCACCCCCTGCCATGGGCAGGGAGACTTTCCACTGGCCCAGGTTGCTCCAAGCCCCATCCAACCTGGCCTGGAACACTCCCAGGGATGGAGCAACCACAGCTGCTCTGGGCAACCTGTGCCAGTGTCTCACCACCCTCACAGGGAAGAACTTCTTTCTAACCTCTAACCTGAACCAACCACCTTCAGCTTAAGGCCATTCCCCTTGTCCTATCACCACATGCCCTGGTGAATCTGCCTCAGCTTCACTTAGGAACTCTCTTTAACACTGGAAGTCAAAGAAAGCTCATCCATTAGGAAAAAAAAGGAGCATCATTAGTAGAAGAGATCATGCACATGTCTGATGCCATCAAAGAGATCTTCATAGTGGAGAGAAACAGGAAGAACTGCAAGAACACAGTAACAAAAAGGAGCTGTTCTAACAGGTAGTTGCATTTTTCTTTTACTTTTCCAAATTCCTCCTCTATGCATTGGTAGATGTGCTAAGGCAACAAGAAGACAGATGGAAGGCATAAGACAGTTTATAAAGAAAATATACTTTCACTGCATTAATGGATGCCCTTGCCAGAATCTTTATGAAGCTGTAAAAGAGTTGGAAGCATTTCAGTGTGGTTATTTCACGAGCACAGTATGCCTCTCCAGCAGTGTAAATACTTCATGAATGAAATGGATGCTTTTTATCCACCTTTCCATCACTGTAAATTATCCCTGAAAGCAAACTGCCATGTGCAGGTAAGTCTCCATTTAAACAACAACAGAAATGGATCATGGGGTGATGTAAAACATAATGAATCAAATGTCAATATGAGTGAAACTGAGGAAAAGCAAAGTATGTCTATTTATTGCCTGCTTGCAGTCTGAGTATATTGCATATTAATCAATTGTCCTATGGGGGAAATGTGGGAAGGAGAGGGAGAGCAAAGGGTAGGGAAATACAGATATGGGATGCTTCCAAAGGTGCTCCAAACGTATCCTGAGTGGAAGCTGGCTACCTTCTTGGGGGAAGTTTTAAACACAGCTCAGCACTTGGCTGTCAGGGATGCTGAACACCAGCAGCAGAGAGCAGTGACTCCCAATTTGCATACCTATTTTTAGTATTTTCATCCACTGCTTTATATTAGAGTTTGGAATGAAAACCAACTCTATGCTAAAATCTCCATCAGTTGCTGTCAGGTATTTCTCATTAAAACCTCACCATGTCATTTTGTCCAGGACACATTTATCCCACCAATCAGTTCCAATGACAAGCTGAACACTGTGGCCTAAGCTCTGTCTTACAGGTGTCCCTGGGTGTAAACACAAACTGGCTTTAAAGCAGGCAGAAAATTCCAGAGAAGGCATTTCCAGCAGTCCTGTTAGCAGTGGTGATGTACTGACCACCCCAGGCATACACAGAGCAGGTGCAGGAAAGCTAATTCCACACAATTCCTACTTTGGATCAATAGCAGCAATTCAATTCAGAGCAAAGCATCTCCTTCTCTATTCATACTGGGCCCACTGAAATTATGTTGATAAAATGAGTTTCCTCTCTTGCAACTGTCCCTGTCTGGACATGGCAGAGAATTCAAAGGGGATGACATCCCAAAATACAAGAACTTAACAATAATAATGATATCCCAAGGCACAAAAGAAAGAGAATAAAAAAGCAGGCTGTTTGCTGATAACAGAACTAGAAGAGTTTTTCAATTCTCTGTATGAAATCCAAGCACAACATCATCAAAGGTCATAAGACTACCTGTTCCCTGAGCAATCTGTGCAAGTGCAGGTTTGAGGCTCTGTGTTGTCCCTCTATCCCATAAAAGACTTGTGCATCAGTGCTGGGTACACTTCCAGCACTGGACTCCAGGAAAAGGCAGCTCAGACCTGTATTTATGCCTCTCCACAGGCAGTGTGGGAAAGCTGTGTCTGCTGCCAGAGCTCAGGATGCAGCAGGGCTCAGAGAAAGGCACATCACTTCACAGCTGTAAGGGGTTGGGTCACTCAGAAAGCACACAGAACATTTCCCTGGCATTTGAACTCTCAGGCTTTCATCAGGAAAGGTGGATTTAATTTCTGGAAATAAATTCTTACCTTGATCTAGTTCCTTGTCTGTGACTTGTCTCTCAAGCTGCTTCCTCAGCCTCTCATTAGTTTTTATGGAGTATTCTAAACGTTGTCTCAGGATTCTAATTTCCTGCAGATGCTCCATTAGTAACTCTAAATAAAGCAAGAGACCACTTCTTATTTCGAGCAAATGATTCTATTCTTTTACACTGTGTACTCCTGTCAAATCTCATGGGTATTAACCCCCAAGGATGACACAGAGCTGTTAAAAATGGCAGATACTAAATATTTGGCTCCACAAGTCTTTTCCTGCAAATTGCTCAAACCATGCATTTAGTGACAAGTCCTACTCTACGTTATAACTTAAACAATGGACCAGTTTTAAGGCTCTTCAAATTTCTTCTTCCTACGAAACTGGAGCAGACAACGATTGTATCCAGTTAAAACATTCCCTGTACTGAGAAATGACTCCAAAGCTCTGCAATGCAGCTCCACATTCCAGCTCAACAGACCAATCACACACGTTTTTCCTTACAACAATAGGAACCTCCCAGAGTAACTCAGAGAGAAATTTGACTTTGACTTCCACAATGCATCCCATCATAAATAAACCTGTTGTATCAAGTTGCATTACTGTACCTTTTCCTTTTTGCTTTGCCATCCTACCATTTTTCTTCCGTTGGCTGCAAGTTTCAGCTTTACTCAGGAACTGATCTGTTCTACCTGTCACTGTCTGGTTTGCTGGTTTATCCATGTCACACACTCTGGGTTTACTCTGCAATATTTCTCTCCCTGAACACTTCGTGTCAGCTCAGCTATTAAATTTTCATCGCTGCCGATAAAGCACCACAAGCATCACTTGTGCTTAGTGAAACTATCCAGGTCAAACATGACACCACTGATTAATAATGCAGCACTTACCAATTCTCACAGAAACACAACACTGGCTTTTACAAAATTAGAAAATCTCTCTTTTTCCACAAAATAATCTCTTGACAATTGTCTATTTTCCCTTTATAACTTGTCTATTTAAAGACTGTCTGGAGCACTGTAAAAGCTGATACTCTAAAACAACAAAGACACAAACTATCAGAGTTTATAGCCTCAACCAGGAGGTAGCTCAGCTCATTGCCATCTCTGTGTGCCTTAGCACTGAAATTGCAATGATTATGCAAGATACTGGAAAGCTGAAGCAAACATTCTTCATTAGTTCTTAATTAGTTCCCTTGTGTCTTATTTATCAGCTTTTCCCAATATCAAGCAAATCTTCAGTGGGAAAAACATTACCTGGGGGAAACTTGTCTGGCAGGAGTGCCAGTGTGCCATGCTGGCCCTCCAGGTCATGCCTGTGCTGGGGGGATCCAAGAGGAGACTTCTCTGACAAATCAAAGTCAGACAAGCTATGAAGAGCAGATGGTACAGGCGACTGATCCTGCAGCTGCTGGTACATCGAGGCATTCTTCTCATTATCCCTTTTGGTGCCAAACAAAAGGTTTTAAAATATAAACAACATTTTAGTACTCTGGAAGCATGAGCAGAGAGCATGGTGGTGTGACATGCACAGGCAAAGCAAGTGAATTTGTGCAACAAGACATGACAAACCACTACACATCTGAGATTGTATCAAGGCAAATTCAGAGTTCAGCGA